AATTACAAAGAAAATAAAAAATTAAGCAAAAAGAGAGAGACAGAGATTACTGTGAAAATATGAAACAGAAAACCAATGAAAATATATCAGTTAACTGACTTCAATTAAATCAGTGTTACCCAATGATTTCATTATTTTACTTTGGATCCTACAATGTTTGACATTGTTAAGCTCCCATTTATGGAGTTAATATATAGAGAGAGAGTTAATAAGTGTTGATGTAAGTATCTCAGCTCTCTTTTCTGAAAAAGAAAGTAAGTTTCTAGCAATTATAGCTATTGGAAAAAAAAAACACTGGAGAAAAAAATATATTTTTATTATTGTAGAGCAATCAGTCTCTTAACTCCTAATGCCTTATTCATTATTCTTGGTGACTGAGAGTATTTGTGTTGAAAATTCTATTTTTGCAAAATGTTATCGGCACTTGGATAACTCTAAGACTACATTTTAAATATTGGATTCTACTATTTTTACTTAATTCTTGGGAGAAAATCATCATTTTAAGCCAGTGTACCTCTATACTATACTAAACTATATGCAGAAGAGAAATCAACTTCACAGTTGATTTCATAAAATCATAGAACGGTTTGGGTTGGAAGAGTCTCTAAGGTCATCAAGTCTCCACTTCTCTGCCACAGACAGATACGGTTCCTACCAGTTCAGGTTGTACAAAACTGTCCTGGAAAGGGTCCTTCAGAGGGACATCTCTTTGTGAGGAAAAGCTGAGTGAATTGGGTCTGTTCAGCCTTGAGAAAAGAAGACTCAGAGGGGATTGGATCAATGTCTATAAATATCTAAGGTGTGGGAGGCAAAGTGACGGGCCAGACTCTTTTCAGTGGTGCAAGGCAATAGGACAAGGGGGAATGGCAACAAATTGAAGCATAGGAAGTTCTGCACAGATGTGTGTAAGAACTTTTTCACAGTGAGGGTGATGAAACACTGGAACAGGCTGCCCAGAAAGGCTGTGGAGTCTCCTTCTCTGGAGATGTCCAAAACCCACAAGGATGCCTATGTGTGCAACCTGGTCTAGGGAGCCTGCTTTGGCAGGGGGCTTGGACTCAATGATCTCTCAAGGTCCCTTCCAGCCTCTACAATTCTATGATCCTATGAAAACCTCATCTAACCTGGCCTTGAACACCTCCACTGACTTGGCATGTACGATTTCTCTGGGCAGCCTATTTCAGTGCCTCATAGCGAACAGTTTCTTCCTAGCATCAAATACAGTCCTAACCTCTTTTAGTCTAAAACCACTACCCTTGTTCGATCACTATGTTCTCTGATAGTAAAGAGACCCTTACCATCTTGTCTGAAGGCTTCCATTACGTACTGGAAGACTGCTACAAGGCCTTCCTGGAGACTTCTCCAGATTAAACAAGCCCAGCTCTCTCAGCATGTCTTCATAGAAGAGGTGCTCCAGCCCTCTGATGATCTTCGTGTTCCTGCTCTGAACCAGCTCCAGTAGCTACCTGCCCCTGTGCTGGAAACCCAAAGCAGAGTGCAGTGCTGCATGTGGAACCTTGTGAGAATGTAACAGAGGGGAACAATCAGATCCTTTACCCTGAAGAATGAAGGAGGGACACAAATCAGTGTTTTCGTAGCAGTTCTTAAAAAAGGTATAGATGTTTACTTAAATTATGTTTTTATTTCAAGTGTGTGTGTACTAATTACTTTCTGTGATTTTTCTGGAGATCAGTACATTTCCATGGAAGATTATTTATATCTTTTTTTTTTTTTATTCAGATGATTTTTGGATGCCACTTCTAAGTGTCCTTGTCAAATAATTCCTTCTCCTACAGTTTTCAAATCACATAAATGCAGGAAGCTATTAGCATAAATGTTCTTCAGGCAGCTTTGTTCTGATTGATTATACTTCTGATTCTTCTAATCCCGATTTTCTGCTGATAATCTAGCTGAAAATGCAAGAAAATATTCTGGAGTTTCAGGTCTTTCAATAGCACCTAAGGAACTCGCTATGTTTAGAAACGGTCTGAAACACAGCAAGTGAAAGAAATCCAACTTAAAAACATTGCTTAAGAGAAAAATATTCTGCTGCTGATTTCTCAGTGTCACAGTTTCCCTGCAGAGAGAAGTCGGTAAGTGAACAAAACAAGGAAGATAGCACTTAATCACAAGGCAGACAGCACTGACCTTGCCTCAGTCATTAAGTGTGAGGGAGGATTTCTTAAGTGTTTGGGTTTTTTTTAATGCATCATTTATTTCTAGCATCTTGTCATCCATCTAACAATTAGAAATCTGTCACATGCAATTGCTGGCCAAATTAGCAGTTACTTCAAGCTGTGTAAGTGATTTAAAATAGTCCTATTTAGAAAGCACAATTACAGAGTTGCTGAGGGCTAGATGCCAAAAGAAACTTATAAACAAAATAGCTGAAATCAAACATATTCAGTGTGAGCTATGCTTGAGTGTGGAAAAAAATGTAATAGTAACAAAGCTGCTTTCAAGAAGTACTTAATGAAAGAGTTGTATTCATAGATGTATTATCACAAGCCTATTCATATTACTGATTAGCTTACATCCACATCTGATAAGATAAAGCATATTTATATACTGAAAATCCTGGTGTTTTGCTGAGGGGCAAGAGAACAAACAGAATTTTGATACATTTGGCACATTTGTTTTCTCATGCCATGAGAGCTTCCAAGAGTATCTGCTTTTTTCATGAAGAGCAGCAGGCACTTGTGTCACAGTCATTGCTTTTTTCAAATTTTCCTATTGTGTTTATTTAAGGTGAGGCTTATCTGAACTGTTCAATAGCATTAAATATTATTACACTCCAATGTTCCATATTGTGTAAACCACTTGTCTTAATTTCTCAAGTTAAACCTTCAACAACATATGAGTTGGACTGAAATGAGAGCTCTGAATGTTGACTGCAAATCCTACCTTTCCTTCCCTCCCACCTCAGCACTTCCTTACCTCCCACTTTAAATGATGATTTTCCTGATATCTGTAATGAATAAACCACTGAAGTAAGGCCAAGCAGACATACAGGAACAAAAACTGAATTATTTTTCTTTCACTGTCAGTGTGAACCTAAATAGAGAAGGTGCTCCAACACAGTTTGGGTTTTGATTATCTGTAGGTGAGGCTCACTAACACATATGAGTTAAGGAGATTGGAGGTGGAGGTGAGAACTGGCATTTTGCTGTTCTCCGTATTTTATTTACTTTTTTGAAAAATAAAAAGCTCAATTACAAAATCTGTAATGGAAGAACTTATTCTATATTACGATGGTTGGTAAAGACAGATAATTCTTACTTCTGTGAGAGCTGTGAGCAGTTACTGAAATTTAATTTATTTGAGTGTCTAGATTGTGATTTCTGTGCTAAATTATAGAAAACAAAATCTAAATAAACCTGTTTAAGTACAGATCAAAATCCAGAGAATAAATACAGTTTGCCAAATATTCTTTTATATACTTGTGTCCTCAAAGCACAGGAAAATATCTTAAGAATATCTTAAGAATTAAGATATTTTTATTGGGCCTTTAACCCACATCAGTATATGCAACATCTACTGCGGTACATGGTAGGGATTTCTTCAGTTCAGTCAGAATGTTAGCATATTTAGATAAATCCTCATTTAATTACATAAAAGATTGATTGTAAAACAAAGTCCTGAAATCCTTTCTGACAATAGGAGATCATCAGAGAAAGGATAAAATAAAAAAGTGTTCAAAAACTTTTGGAATTGAAATTGGGTCTGGGAAAACATTATAACAAATTATTAATTAAAAAATTCTCCTTCTGAGCCAGACTATGTAAATGTTGCTGTACAGTATTCTACGTCGTTATATTTTAGCTTGTTTTATTCTATATGGGGTAGAATGTGTTAAAAATCAATGCAGAAAAGCCCTGAAGCATTTATCTTTTAAACTCAGTCTTAGAGATAAATCAAAACAGCAGAGCATTAATCTACTGTCTATTAACCCATTAATCTATTTGGTCTAATCAATAGACAAAATTATATAGGCAGTGGATTAAGATAATGTTTTTCTATTTTAAATAAGTGACATATGATGATTATAATAGTTCCACAAGAAACTGAAAGCATGCAGAAGAAACAAATCATAAGTTTGAGCTGATAATAGAACCAGAAGGCAGAATTTTCCTAAAGGTTTTTGCAGAAAACATCTGCAAAAGTTTTTTTTTCCTGTTGGAGACAGGTAATTTTCTGGGAATTGTACCAGCATCATTGGCAATACTGGGCTTGTTTCTAACAACAGTAGGTTCTGCTGGGCTGCAGTCCACAATGGCAAGTAGAAGGGAAGAAAGAAAGGGGCTACAATGCAGCGGAGAGGCCCAGCTACAAGGCAGTGTGTAACAAATTCAGTTGGAAATTTCAGCACTTTAATATATTTCGGCATTGAAATAACACAGACACATAGTCATGGATATTCATAAAAATTTCATCAAAAAGTGCAAGGATCCCTAAGCTTTTTAAGCAGGTACAAGAGTTTTGCAGCCAAAGTAAACAGCTGACATCTGAAAGGGAAGGACTGCACAAATAAAAGGAAAAAGGGATGCATGAAAAGGGAACTTACAGTAAGATGAAACTAGGAAAGTTTTGATAAGGTGGCAAAAATTGGTATCATCTCCTGTTAGCTACCATGTCTTCTGCTGAGTTGAACTACTGAACAGCTATTCCAAAATCCTGGCTTATTTTCTAAAGAACATTTTGACTCCACCTGTATAAAGGTTAAGGTTCATTTTCTTACCTGTTGTTTTGCAGTAATGAGTGAAATGTGGCATGCTGAGAAAGAATATGTGTTTGATATTCTTCTATTCAAAAGAAAAGTACTTTTGCCAAAGGCACAAGAGCAACTTAGCACCTGTGTTTAGTTTCATCACATTCATTTAGATCTCTATGCCAGCATGAAGAAGCTCAGTCCTACAGCCTAATGACATCAACGTATTACTTGTAATTCCATTTTATTTCAGAATATGAAGAATTGCCTTTGAGACTACTTATGTTTTTTCTCTGCTTCTTACCTAACATTTAAATAGCTTGAAAGGAACTTTATCCCAGTTGTGAAATGGTCTTAATTTTTTTAGGAAGTTGACTGTGTTTTTGAATGTCCAGTCTTCTAGATCCATATGCAAGTATGGGCCAAGTAGTCTGATATCAGTGTTGCATAGAACTCAGAAAATTTCCTTGCTAATTTGAAAGTGGGAGATGATGTGAACTTTCCTCTAGCATAACTGAAGGATGTGGGTAAGTACTAGGGAAGAGTTAATAAAATCCTCTCCTCTGTCAAAGGAAGCTGTGCCTCAGAGTTTTCTTTTAAGAAGTGAGCAAAAATGAACACAGGAAATCTGTGTATGAAGCCACTTCAGTTTGAAAAAATCATTCAGCAAAATCATCCATCAAATACTCCACAAGAAGTCAAGGTGGCAAATCGTAAGTAGCAAAATCCTGTGTAAATGAAGAACTGCATAAAAGATAGACAACAGATGGCAAGACGTAATAAAGCTTTTCTAAAATAATTTTACAAAGCTTAGAGATTCAGATTGTATTGGGGCTCATGGAGATCAGCATAGCTATAATGATGAGAAATAGTGAACCTATAAATTTAGTGTTAATAAAAACTTACTCAGGTAGTAATGGTGAAAAGCGCACGTGGAGAATCCTAGAAAAGTTTAATGATGCTAAATGACTATGCAAGAAGAAAATAGAGCTAAAATTGATAGAACATTAGCTGTTGCCAGTGAGAAATCAGAATGATGAGAGATTTTGGGTAGAATAGGCAGTTTCACTGATGTTTCCTGAATAACAAACAAAATGTTGAGAAAAATATTGAGCTCTTTATGCTCCAGAAGGGACTGCTGAGGTATGACAGAGTTCTGTAACTGGCCAGGGAAAAGTGTGATTCTTTCTTTCCAGACAGGAATGAAACTTATTAACCCTCGAAGAGGAATAAATGAAACCAAACCATAGGCAAAAATGGATGTAAAACAAAGGGCATTTGCCTTTATATTGCTAAACTATAAAATTACTTGCTGCCATTAATTTGCTTGGATTCAGACAGTACCAGGAAAAAATATATATATTAAAAAGAATATATTCAGTTCTATCTAGTCCAAAAGTTCTTGGTCAGTAAGCAACAGCATGCTAGAGGCTGGAGGAGTACTCAGGGAAACCTGCTATCTTCTTTGATTATTCTATAAGTATTTTCTGTTTTTCAGTGTTTGACATACAAGGCTAAGTGGCCTTTCAGTTTGATCTCATATTCTTGTTTTTATATCCTTGTGAAAACTAGGTATTTCCTGTAATACCAAGGAGAACAGCCACTGAATTTAAACTGAATATACACTTTCTGTTTCTCAATTATGATCCACTTTCTGTTTCTCAATTATGATCCTCTCCCTGTTATGATGAGTAAAATGTCACTGTTAAACAGAACAGAAGAGCACTTCTGAGAGAAAATTGATCATGAGATTAACTTTATTAAACGTTTTTAGGAGTGTTTACACACTTTTCCCTGTAGTGACTTTGTGTTGTCTGCAGATAACACTCTGTCATTTCAACTAATTTCACTGCAGAGTACTCTGAGGAGGAGCCTGAATAAAGAAAATTATGAGATACAAACATTTGGCAGGTAGGTTTTGTGGGCAGATATTATGGTTCCTGGTAACAGTTTGGCACTCTAAAATTGGTGTGCTGTGTAGGTGTGCCCCTTTTCATTATGTAGCGGATTAGGAATCTCTTCCTCTAGAGACTGTGACAAGTGTATTCAAACTAGAGAATTAATAAAAGGTGTCACAAAGAGTTTCTCCATGAACATTGTTGAAAGGTGAGCATGTTACTCACCTGAGTTTCACCTAAATCTCATTTGATTCTAGGGTTACAAAGCATAGACACATTGGGATGCTTAATAGTCGAGTGAGGCATTTCGCTGTTACAGTTCTTTCAAAGGGACTTACAAAAACAATCAAGAGTCTCATGACCCTAAGGGGGTAGTTTTTGTGATGAATTTTAAATTTGAATCAAATCACAGAATTACCAAGTTTGGAAAAGACCCCCAAAATCATCTAGTCCAATTATCCACCTAACCACTAATATTTCCCCACTACCCCATGTCCCTTAGTGCAACAATAAGTGTTTATTGGACACCTCCAGGGACAACCAGGACCTCCAGGCACCTCCCTGGCAGCCCATTCCAGCACCTGACCACTCTTTTGGAAAATAAATTTTTCCTAAAGTCCAACCTGAATCTTCCCTGGCGCAACTTGAGCCCAATCCCTCTACTCCTATGGTTAGGGAGAAGAGGCCAATCCCCACCTTGCTACAACTCCTTTCAGGTAGTTGAAGTGAGCCTTAAGGTCTCCATGAGTTGCCTCTTCTCCAGGCAAAATAATCCCAATTCCCTCAGTTGCTCCTCATTAGATTTGTGCTCCAGACCCCTATTTGATTTTCTATTTAGGTTTTCTTAGGTTTTCTTAGAAGAGAAAATTCCTATAAAAATAAGTGAAGTAATCAGGAAGTATTCCATTAGTGTTTGAACTATCAATTAATATTTACAAATAACCACCATCAAATGTTTCAATTTGTTGCTTCCTTTTCAGCCATTCTTCACCCTTTTAAGGTCAAAAGAGCTTTTATTTGATGTAAAGTAAATCCTTTTCTATATGACTGGTAACTTATTTTCCAAATCCTGGTGTTCATTTTCTTTCTAAATCATAGCCAGTAATACTGTCCATAATTTCCACACAAAATTTTCAGGTTTCTGACTACACAGGAATCTGTCTTTCTCCAAACTCATTCTTATTCTTTTATTCTGCACAATAGTTGACTTTCCTAAGAAAGAAAGAAAGAGAGAAAGAAAGAGAGAAAGAAAGAGAGAAAAGAAGGAAGGAAGGAAGGAAGGAAGGAAGGAAGGAAGGAAGGAAGGAAGGAAGGAAGGAAGGAAGGAAGGAAGGAAGGAAGGAAGGAAGGAAGGAAGGAAGGAAGGAAGGAAGGAAGGAAGGAAGGAAGGAAGGAAGGAAGGAAGGAAGGAAGGAAGGAAGGAAGGAAGGAAGGAAGGAAAGAAAGAAAGAAAGAAAGAAAGAAAGAAAGAAAGAAAGAAAGAAAGAAAGAAAGAAAGAAAGAAAGAAAGAAAGAAAGAAAGAAAGAAAGAAAGAAAGAAAGAAAGAAAGAAAGAAAGAAAGAAAGAAAGAAGAAAGGAAGAAAGGAAGAAAGGAAGAAAGGAAGAAAGGAAGAAAGGAAAAGAAAGGAAGAAAGGAAGAAAGGAAGAAAGGAAGAAAAGAAAGAAAGAAAGAAAGAAAGAAAGAAAGAAAGAAAGAAAGAAAGAAAGAAAGAAAGAAAGAAAGAAAGAAAGAAAGAAAGAAAGAAAGAAAGAAAGAAAGAAAGAGAAAGGAAGAAAGGAAGAAAGGAAGAAAGGAAGAAAGGAAGAAAGGAAGAAAGGAAGAAAGGAAGAAAGGAAGAAAGGAAGAAAGGAAGAAAGGAAAGAAAGAAAGAAAGAAAGAAAGAAAGAAAGAAAGAAAGAAAGAAAGAAAGAAAGAAAGAAAGAAAGAAAGAAAGAAAGGAAAAGAAAGGAAGCAGTGTAATTCCAGTAACAAGGAATAAATACTTATTATGATTATTCATTAAGAAAATGTCCATAAAAAATGTTCCCTAATGAGAACATTGCATAAAATATGGCTTAATGCAATGCAATGCAATGCTCCCTAATCCGAAATTGCAGGGTGTGGATTAACTATTCCATTGCATAGGCTGTACACTCTGGAAATTTAAAATGTTCTAACCATTATCTTTGCCAATTATATAAGCTCTGTAATCCTGACTCAGCACTTTCTGTGGACAACAGTAAATACACAGTGTTTGGTTGACTGATTTGATTTGGTTTTTGTTGTTATTGTTTCTTTCTTTCTTTTATTTTGGTGGGGGGGGGGGGGGGGGGGGTTGCATTTTCTAAGTTGTAGAAATGCCCATAGCTGAAAGTAGGAATGGCAGCCTTCAACATGGGAACTTCTACTGCAGCGCTTAATGTTGAAAGTTTTGGAAGTACACAGTAATTACCTGTGCTTCTATTTTCCAAGAAGATGGCACTCCTAAACCCGCTTGTACACAGTGAGTATTTCATACAGTTACAAACACAAAAATTATGCATACTCAAGAGAGATTCCTACTGAATCAAGAGGTTCAGAGTGGAAGTTTAGTTCCTAAACTTCTTCTCAGAGGTGCAGCTTGACCCAAATTTAGTCCAAGTCTATAGTTTACTTCTAAAGGTTGAGGAGAAGCTTCTGCTGAGTCACAAAGTTCAGAATGGATCCACTTGCTTTCTAAACTTCTTGAAATGAAAAGGTAAGGAACCCAGGTGAGGCTGAATCCACTCCTAGTCCCAGACTTGGTAAACCATTTATGTCTACAAGATTTGTGTGCATATAGTTAATACTATATAATCTTAGGAAAGCTTACAAAGTTTAGAAGACTATTAGTCAGTTACCAAGGATCTGTATCAGCAGAGTGTCTTCACACCAAGGTAGAAAGCATCTCTACAATAGGAATAACCTATGAGGTGCCCCTACTCAGAGGGAGATGCTGTCATGCAGCCACTTGCTGGGCAGGAGAGCTCACGGGGCTCTTAGACTCTTGACTATTTATGGGATAAGGAGATGGAGTGCATGCTCAATCGGCCTTCAGCTTTTGAGCAAGACATCTGTCCATTAGTTCCTCCAGAACCCAGTTTAGGACAGTACTCCAGCTGCTATCTGCCCCAGCAAGAATCATAGAATGAATCTGAGAAAGTAAAGAAATTGGCGTTACCAGTAGCACAGTCACTGTCTGAATGAGGCCTTGGTATAAGGATTAAAAGTCTTTAGATGGTAGGGAGTACACCATCACAGCAGGGCAGAGCCTCACAGCTAAGGCAGTGGCTGGCATGGGGACCTGAGCCATAGACAGTGTGGGATGTCCCAGTCCCAGTCAATCCCAGTCAGCAGGGACAACAACGTTTATTTGTGCCCTCAGGACCTTGACAGAAAAATAATATAACTGCAGACCTCTACTGACCTCCTGGGTTATCTCCAGGACTCATAGCAATCCTCACTGTCCTGCCATTGTAAGAAGTGACATCCCACCATTTTTCTCCTGCCTCACATCCAGGAGCATCTCCCTTGTTTTCAAATGGGGAGGAGAAAGGAAATAGGACTGAAATATCCTCTATAAACATCACAAACCCAATAAGAAGCATAAGGTGAAAACAAAAAGGAAAAAAAGTAGGTGCAAGGCACTTAGCAATGAAAGTGAAGGATCTTGAACTCCAAAAAAAGGATGAAGGATCTCAAACTTCAAAAAATAAAATAAAATAAAATAAAATACAGCCTACCTTCCTCCTCTCCTGCTTCAATCACCATCTACCTGATAGAATGGTGTTATAACACACAGAGACAGTTATAAAGAGTCACTCTTGATGCCCTCTAAAATTAATTGCATACTGGGAGGCACATAAGCATTAGTTTTACAGCATTACTTCCATACACTGAATGGGATAGTTGTCATTCTGCCACAGCTTTTTCAAAAAACATAAAAAATGCAGTAAGCCCCTCCACCAAGGCTGGACACCTATCTCTGGCAGCAGAGCTGCTGGTTCTACTCTGTTTTAACTTAGACAGACAATGAATTTTTGCATGAAATGGTATAGCATTAATTTAAAAAGAAAAAGAAAACCTCCCTATTTTAAGCAAGGTCAGAAATTTGACAGGCATGATACAGCCAATGTGGAAATTTTTTTTGTTTGATAACTAATTATCTTTCATTGCTCATTTACATTAGTTACTACATTTGTGATCTCCAAACGACTTAAAATTGCAGCCAGTGAGTATCTTTTCTCCCCATATTAAAACATACTTTATGTGGCTACGGAGCAGCCTTCAGCTTCTGTCAGATGAACTAGGTACAATATGTTAAATCCTGTGACTCAACTGCTTTCTCTGTGCTGTTAACAAGCATGTTAAAAAATATATTAAATACAGTAGATATACAAAATGCCTAAAGATACATCCAGGTCCAGTTTTCAGGACATAAGCACACACAGATTTTTTCCTACACTCCTAGAGTTTCAAAATTTGACTTATATCACAAAGACATGAGGCACAGGAGAGAAACTACACCAAGAACATTGACGTGAACTGTGTTCTTCAGATTTGAGGTTAAGTTTTAGAAGCTAAAAGATCCTAAATGATCCTGGATTTGTGCGAACATTTACAGAACACCTAGAACAAACTCAACACTAAGCCATCATAAGTTATTTTTCTCACAAGCATGTGCAGAGGTATCTGTAAAAATGATGTGAGTACCCACCAAGGATGTTGTAATTGTAGATTTAGTTATCCCTGAACGAAGAGTTTAAATTTCCATCACCAAGAAAGTCTGAAGACAAAGTCACAGTCATGATCATTCTTGTCTCACTGCTCCCACACGTAGTTATTGAAGAAGTCCAAATGCAGTTATAGTGCTTTTATTGTGATTCTTATCTCTCTTCCTTTCAGTGGCTTTTGTTATGCTTTTAAGACTGTCATTTTGGTAACGGATAGTTTTTCTACTGTATAATACCATAAGAATAAATCCAGAAATTTCCTGAGTTGGTGTTGAACTGTGAGTCTTCTATATACACAGAGATTATTTCAAAGTCTGTCATAAATCAGAGATCTAAATTGCCTTGCCTATCATTTTAAAGCTTCTGAAGCAATAAAACAGCAATAAGTTTGTGACCTTGCCTGAGTAAGCAGTATGATGTTTTGATGAGTTGCTATGGTAATACCTTTTTAACTTTTTGTTCTCGGGCAGTATGCTCCTTTTCAAGAGAGGCAAACTATACTGCCAGTTGGAGCACTTGCTCAGACACTTCTAAGAAAAAATTGCTCCAACACCCTCCAAAAACTTGTCAGTCTATCATTTTCAAACATTTAAGTGGATAATTAAGATTTGCCCATGTTCTGTCCCTGGAAAAGGCCGTTAAATGTACAGATATAGTGCACTTTCAGTGATTACATTCTGTTGAGAAAGGAATCTGTCTTAACTGGGAAAGGCTATATCTTTATATATGAATATTCTTGCTCTATTTCTTCTCCAACCAAGCATTTTAATCCTCAGTTATTTTAATCCTCATTATTTCGGCACTCAAACTTCAATTTCTTCTTCCTAACTCTACATAATCTTGATATTCAGAATCATAGAACTACAGAATATCCTGAATTGGAAGGGATCAATAAAGTATCAGTGAGTACAGCTCCTGGCTCCACCCAGGAATAGACAAGATTCAAACCCTGTATCTGAGAGCATTGTTCAAATGCCCCTTGAACTCCAGCAGCTGTGACCACTTCCCTGAGCAGCCTATTCCATTCCCCCTGTCATCTGGTCAAGAACCTTTTCCTAATATCCAACTTGACCTTCCCTGATGCAGTTCCATCCCTTTCTCTTGGGTCCCAATCCTGTTACCAGAGATAAGAGATCAGTCCCTGCACCTCCACTCCCCTCAAGAGGAACATTTCAGACTATATGGCTCAGATACTTACCATTAATTGACCTTAGTGTGCCTAATAAATAGGTGTGAACTTACGCATTCAGTCTCTTTCTGTTGATCATTATACACACACACACACATCTGTAAAGGACTATTATCAGCAGCTGATTAAAAGTAGTGCAGTGCAAGAGCCTAAGCTGAGAGAACTCGAGCACAGTTTTGGTAGCTCCATTGATTTTTTGTCACTTCCAAAGCCCTGTGATGATTTTCATATTCCAGCCCAATTTCTTTCCTCGAGATCAAAACAAATACAGTGTAAATTATCTCTCAGATTTTTATCCTTTGATGTTTCTCAGCAGAATGGCAACCCATAGT